TTGAGGTTAGCACCAGGCAGGAATTGTTGATTATCCTTCCAGTGTATCAGTACTTAGTTCAGCCAGGTTTCTGTAGTCATATTTCTGATGAGCTTTCTTGCTGGCCAGTTTGAACATGTTTCATACAATTTCTGTCTGGTCTGTAGCCCTTGTTTGCCAGTCTGAAGGCTAACTGATGGCAGTCCCCTGATGGTGGTGCACTAAAGTGTTGTCAATGTCTGCTGCAGGTGTTAACTGTGACCAGTGCAAAGAAGGCGCCTACAACTTTGGGACGTCAGCATTGCAGGGCTGTGAGAGCTGTCCCTGTTCACCTGCTGGCACAGTTAATGGGACTGGATCCTGCGACAAGTCTAGTGGTGCTTGTCTCTGTAAGGTTAATGTGGAGGGTCAGGGCTGCAACAAGTGTAAGCCCAACACCTGGGGACTCAATGCAACAGATCCTGTTGGTTGCCAGCCTTGTGACTGTGATCCTCTAGGTGAGTGCTCCCTTTATATTAGGCTTTCTGCCAGATTGTCATGTCATTTTTTTTTTTGGGTGGCTAGATTCCAAACAATTTAGAACTAGATTTTTTTTTTTAAAGGGGAAAAAGCTAAAATCACTAGAAGTATGTCTGTTGGTGTACTATTGCAGCATGGGAGCCAAGGTGCAGCAAACAGAGATGAATGCTACCACCCTTGGTTTCTTGTATAGCTCAGCCAGCCACAATAGGCTCCTAGTAGTGTAGGGACCATGGAAACAGACTATATCATGGAATCTGGCTGAGATTTGGGGCTCAAGTGTGATCATAGAAACAGACTGTATCATGGAATCTTGCTGAAAGATTTGGGGCTAAGGTGTGATCATGGAAACAGACTATATCATGGAATCTGGCTGAAAGATTTGGGGCTCAAGTGTGATCATGGAAACAGACTGTTTCATGGAATCTTGCTGAAAGATTTGGGGCTCAAGTGTGATCATGGAAACATATTGTATCATGGAATCTGGCTGAGATTTGGGGCTCAAGTGTGATCATGGAAACAGATTGTATCATGGAATCTTGCTGAAAGATTTGGGACTCAGGTGTGATCATGGAAACAGATTGTATCATGGAATCTTGCTGAAAGATTTGGGACTCAGGTGTGATCATGGAAACAGATTGTATCATGGAATCTTGCTGAAAGATTTGGGACTCAGGTGTGATCATAGAAACAGATTGTATCATGGAATCTTGCTGAAAGATTTGGGACTCAGGTGTGATCATAGAAACAGATTGTATCATGGAATCTTGCTGAAAGATTTGGGACTCAGGTGTGATCATAGAAACAGATTGTATCATGGAATCTTGCTGAAAGATTTGGGACTCAGGTGTGATCATGGAAACAGATTGTATCATGGAATCTTGCTGAAAGATTTGGGACTCAGGTGTTATCATGGAAACAGATTGTATCATGGAATCTTGCTGAAAGATTTGGGACTCAGGTGTGATCATAGAAACAGATTGTATCATGGAATCTTGCTGAAAGATTTGGGACTCAGGTGTTATCATAGAAACAGATTGTATCATGGAATCTTGCTGAAAGATTTGGGACTCAGGTGTTATCATGGAAACAGATTGTATCATGGAATCTTGCTGAAAGATTTGGGACTCAGGTGTTATCATGGAAACAGATTGTATCATGGAATCTGGCTGAGATTTGGGGCTCAAGTGTGATCATGGAAACAGATTGTATCATGGAATCTGGCTTAAATTTGGGGCTCAGGTTTGATCATGGAAACAGATTGTATCATGAAATCTTGCTGAAAGATTTGGGGCTAAGGTGTTATCATGGAAACAGACTGTATCATGGAATCTTGCTGAAAGATTTGGGGCTCAAGTGTGATCATGGAAACAGATTGTATCATGGAATCTTGCTGAAAGATTTGGGGCTCAAGTGTGATCATGGAAACAGATTGTATCATGGAATCTTGCTGAAAGATTTGGGGCTCAAGTGTGATCATGGAAACAGATTGTATCATGGAATCTTGCTGAAAGATTTGGGACTCAGGTGTTATCATGGAAACATATTGTATCATGGAATCTGGCTGAGATTTGGGGCTCAAGTGTGATCATGGAAACAGATTGTATCATGGAATCTTGCTGAAAGATTTGGGACTCAGGTGTGATCATGGAAACAGACTATATCATGGAATCTGGCTGAAAGATTTGGGGCTCAAGTGTGATCATGGAAACAGATTGTATCATGGAATCTAGCTAAAAGATTTGGGGCTCAAGTGTGATCATAGAAGGTCAGCATCTTGCATTATATAGAAATCTTGTAATCTGATTTGAGTGTAGTGAAGATATTTACAGCTATGTGTCAATGATACTATCAGTAAGGCTATCAGTAAGCTTCTAAAAGGATAGAACCACAACTGAAGAAACACTCAATTATGTTATAGAAGGGAGAAATATTAGCTGTATTTGATCTACACACACACAACCACACTCTTCAACACAATAATTGGACTGACTTTAGCAAGTTGTAACACTACAAACATCTCTGCTGATCATCTTCATGAAGTTGTGTTGTGTTAGCTATAAGCTTGGACAGTCTTGAGTTAGGTCAACAAGAAACACTTCTAGTTAGTCAAGACCTCCATGGTAACACACACAGATCTGATCATCGTCATGAAGTTGTGTTGTGCTAGCTAAAAGCTTGGACAGTTCTGAGTTAGGTCAGCAAGAAACACTTCTAGTTAGTCAAGACTTTAATGGTAACACACACAGATCTGATCATCTTCATGAAGTTGTGCTAGCTATAAGCTTGGAAAGTCCTGAGTTAGGTCAACAAGAAACACTTCTAGTTAGTCAAGACTTCCATGGTAACACACACAGATCTGATCATCTTCATGAAGTTGTGTTGTGCTAGCTATAAGCTTGGACAGTCCTGAGTTAGGTCAGCAAGAAACACTTCTAGTTAGTCCAAGACCTCCATGGTAACACACACAGAGAAACAGTTGACTCTGATTTGTGTAATTCAACAAATAGAATTCATTTTAAGCTTCATTATCTATTGGTTACATATAATATATATATCTAAGGATTTTGGAATACCAAAAAAGTTAATTAGCATGACCAAACTATGTATGGAAGACACTTGTAATATAGTAATATATAAAGGCAGAAAGTCAGACCCTTTTCAAACAACATCTGGTTCAAAGCAAGGGGATGCTGTGTCCCCACTTCTTTTCAACTTGGTCCTGGAACAAAATTATATGGAAATTGAAACTAGAGTATACTATAGGATAATCTACAAGAATACTTGTTATATGGCTCTGAAACTTGGAGCACAACTAAAAGAAATGAAACCTTATTACAGGTTTTTGAAAACAGAGTCTTACGATGAATCTTTGGACCCATCAAAGATGCAAACAGCGGTGAATGGAGAGTGAGAAGCAACAATGAAATTCATAATCTGTTTAAATCACCACTGATCACTGGCATCATGAGACCTAATAGACTGAAATGGTTCAGACACATTGAAAGAATGTCAGATGACAGAGAAGTAAAAACTGTATACACCAGGGAGATGAATGCTCGTAGACCATGAGGCAGACCAAGAAGACGATGATATCTAGACAGATCTGCAAACACTTGTTGTCACCAACTGGAAAGAGAAGGCCAACCAGAGAGATGAATGGAGGCGGGTGATGTCTGCAGCAATGAACCTCAAGGACTGAGAATGCTGAAGAAGAAGAAGATATATTGGTTTCACTTCTGCTGTATAGATTGCTTGAGATGCAGCAAATTATCCCTGGCGTAACAATTGTGCAGTATGTTTGTGTCTTCATTGTTTCAACTGTTCTCGTTCCTTTAGCAGTTGTGATCTACAGCAGAATGTTGTGTTTGAACATCTTCCACAGACTGTTGTATTTAAATGAGCTATGTTTGAAAAGCATTATAAACTCCAGATGCTGTTTTTGTGATCTGAACTACTGAAGGCTTCTTGTATTCTAACTCACAGCTGTTTGGGATGGTTCACTAGTTGTTCGGGTTGGTGCCTTGACTGTTTCACATTCAGACAGATGCAGATGTGATGAAGAGCTTACTGGATGAAACCTTTCTATGAGCCAGTCTCTGATCCTCTAGCCAATTCCATAGCCAAGCAAGACAAGCCCTGCAGCACCTTACCAACGGCTTATTGTAAACATAATGTTCCTACAGGTAGAACATAACAATGGTAGCATTATATTAGCCCTGGAATGACAAACTGGCTGACTCAGATTACATCTGTTCTGATACCACAGGCACTCTCCTAGAGAACAGATCTGTCTGTGATCAGAACACAGGTCAGTGTTCCTGTCTGTTCAACAGAATCGGGCGCCGATGTGACTCCTGCAGTAATGGTATGTATGGGCATAAGCCATGTTTTATTTGATGTGACTCCTGCAGTAATGGTATGTGTGGGCATAAGCCATGTTTTATTTGATGTGACTCCTGCAGTAATGGTATGTATGGGCATAAGCCATGTTTTATTTGATGTGACTCCTGCAAAAGTGGTATGTATGGGTATAAGCCATGTTTTGTTTGATGTGACTCCTTCAGTAATGGTATGTATGGGCATAAGCCATCTTTTGTTTGATAATGTTCAGGCATAATTTTGCGGCTTCATTGGGGTGTCAGATTTTAGTAATGGAGTCACTTCAGACAAAATATATACTTGCTGTTACCCTGATGTTCCTATTGCTGTTACCCTGATGTTTCTATTGGTGTTACTCTGATGTTCCTATTGCTATTACCCTGATGTTCCTATTGCGGTTACCCTGATGTTCCTATTGCTGACACCCTGATGTTCCTATTGCTGTTACCCTGATGTTCCTATTGCTGTTACCCTGATGTTCCTATTGGTGTTACCCTGATGTTCCTATTGCTGTTACCCTGATGTTCCTATTGGTGTTACCCTGATGTTCCTATTGCTGTTACCCTGATGTATGTTCCTATTATTGCTGTTACCCTGATGTTCCAGTTGGTGTTACCCTGATGTATGTTCCTATTATTGCTGTTACTTTGATGTCTGTTCCTATTATTGCTGTTACTTTGATGTCTGTTCCTATTATTGCTTTTACTTTGATGTCTGTTCCTATCATTGCTGTTACTTTGATGTCTATTCCTATTATTGCTGTTACTTTGATGTCTGTTCCTATCATTGCTGTTACTTTGATGTCTATTCCTATTATTGCTGTTACTTTGATGTCTGTTCCTATCATTGCTGTTACTTTGATGTCTGTTCCTATTATTGCTGTTACCCAGAAGTCTGTTCCTGTTATTGCTGTTACTCGGATTTATGTTCCTAATATTGCGGTTACTTTTATGTCTGTTCCTATTATTGCTGTTATTTTGATGTCTGTTCCTATTATTGCTGTTACTTTGATCTATGTTCCTATTATTGCGGTTACTCTGATCTATGTTCTTATTATTGCTGTTACTCTGATCTATGTTCCTATTAATGCCGTTACTCTGATCTATGTTCCTATTATTGCCGTTACTCTGATCTATGTTCCTATTATTGCTGTTACTCTGATCTATGTTCCTATTATTGCCATTACTCTGATCTATGTTCCTATTATTGCCATTACTCTGATCTATCTTCCTATTATTGCCGTTACTCTGATCTATGTTCCTATAATTGCCATTACTCTGATCTATCTTCCTATTATTGCCGTTACTCTGATCTATGTTCCTATTATTGCTGTTACCCTGATCTATGTTCCTATTATTGCTGTTACTCTGATCTATGTTCCTATTATTGCTGTTACTCTGATCTATGTTCCTATTATTGCCGTTACTCTGATCTGTGTTCCTATTATTGCTGTTACTCTGATCTCTGTTCCTATTATTGCTGTTACTCAGATCTAAGTTCCTATTATCACTGTTACTCTATGTTCCTTTTTTTGTTGTTGCTGTTACCCTGATGTATGTTCTATTTATTGATCCATGTGTAATTGTTAGCTTGCTGAGACAAGGCTGCAGATTCAACCCAGCAGTGGTTGGAGTCTTATTTTCATCAGTGCAGCTCTAGGGCCCTGAGACAATAATTAACAACACAATGTTGTAATCAATAATTAGCAACATAATGTGGTAATCAATAATTAGCAACACAATGTTGTAATCAATAATTAGCAACACAATGTTGTAATCAATAATTAGCAACACAATGTTGTAATCAATAATTATCAACATAATATGGTAATCAATAATTAGCAACATAATGTGGTAATCAATAATTAGCAACACAATGTTGTAATCAATAATTAGCAACACAATGTTGTAATCAATAATTAGCAACACAATGTTGTAATCAGTAATTAGCAACACAATGTTGTAGTTAATAATTAGGAACACAATGTTGTAATTAATAATTAGGAACACAATGTTGTAATTAATACTTAACAACACAATGTGGTTATTAATAATAAGCAACACAATGTTGTAGTTAATAATTAGGAACACAATGTTGTAATTAATACTTAACAACACAATGTGGTTATTAATAATTAGTAACACAATGCTGTAATCAATATATAGCAACACAATGTTGTTATTAATAATTTAGCAACACAACGCTGTAATGAATAATTAGTAACATAATGTTGAAATCAATAATTAGTAACACAATGTTGTAATCAATAATTAGTAACACAATGTTGTAATCAATAATTAGTAACACAATGTTGTAATCAATAATTAGTAACACAATGTTGTAATCAATAATTAGTAACACAATGTTGTAATCAATAATTAGTAACACAATGTTGTAATCAATAATTAGTAACACAATGTTGTAATCTATAATTAGTAACACAGTATTCTAATAAATAATTAGTAACACAATGTTTTAATCATTGGAACTTGAAAGCATACAGAATGAAGCAATGTGGGTAATTCTAGGATGTACAAGAGACACCCTGGTAGTATGTATGTGATATATGCTTGCATTGCCTACTATTGCAGATAGGCTTAAAGTTCTGCAAGCAAAGTCATATCTCAGAGTAGCTGTGGACAAGAAACACCTCCTGACTGAAAATGGGGACGGAGACTTATGGGGGTGTCCCAAGTACTATGATTAAACATTGAACATATCTGTTGTAATCAATAATTAGTAACACGATGTTGTAATCAATCACAGATGTAATTCTGAACACTGGTTCTTGTAAACAATTTCTGACCCTGATTACAGGTAGCTATGTAAACCCCACGGGAGGTTGCCAGCCGTGCAGCTGCAACCAGCTGGGAACATTAGCTGGCACATTCTGTCATCAAGTCACAGGCCAATGTGAGTGCAAGCAAGGAGACTTCGGAGTCGCTGGTAAAAACTGTGACCAGTGTTTGCCGACGTTCTTTGGCTTTAATCCACGTTTAGGCTCGTATGTATTTTCACTTCTTCAACATTTTTAATCGTTTCAATGTTTATGAGAGCTCAGCCCCAACCTCACCTTGTCTATCTAATCTGCTCCAGCCTGCCTAAATAACTTCACATCAGACACAGCTGTTTTGTGTTTGTGATACAACGGTCGAACTAGACAGCTCTTCATGATCATAGTCACAGGCTACTGAATGTTGCTGACCAGAAGGCCTTCATCAACACCACATAACATGAATAGACAATGTTACAGTTACAAACAGGAATCTACAAAAATCCTTTAACTAAAGTATCTCTAAAAGAAATCCACATGTTTCTCTTGCTGTTTGAAGCTCTGACACACATTTGAATACAGGAAATGAAATATTAGCCAGAAACAGATGTGGCAGGCAAGAGTCATAACTCAAAAAAAAAAAAATGTGATAAAACTATGTTTATCATTAGGTACCTTAGGCAGGTTGGAGCCCATTAAAAAGATAGAATGCAATAACATGGCTGGAGACACAGACCTTTCCCTGTGCCTGATTTCAGAGTGACTCAATGAGTATTCTCAGGAAGATAGAAATGGGCAGGGGCAGAAGACAGTGGCTTGAGTCTTAAAAGCGGTCAAAGCTAACACATATCAGTTTAATATTTGTGCTAAAGCACCAGGTTAGGTGTAGATCAGCATGTGTAGACTGGCTGGAGTTAAGTGTAGATCAGCATGTATAGACTGGTTGGAGTTAGGTGTAGATCAGCATGTATAGACTGGCTGGAGTTAGGTGTAGATCAGCATGTATAGACTGGTTGGAGTTAGGTGTAGATCAGCATGTATAGACTGGTTGGAGTTAGGTGTAGATCAGCATGTATAGACTGGTTGGAGTTAGGTGTAGATCAGTATGTATAGACTGGCTGGGATTAGGTGTAGATCAGCATGTATAGACTGGCTGGAGTTAGGTGTAGATCAGCATGTATAGACTGGCTGGAGTTAGGTGTAGATCAGCATGTATAGACTGGCTGGAGTTAGGTGTAGATCAGCATGTATAGACTGGCTGGAGTTAGGTGTAGATCAGCATGTATAGACTGGTTGGAGTTAGGTGTAGATCAGTATGTATAGACTGGCTGGGGTTAGGTGTAGATCAGCATGTATAGACTGGTTGGAGTTAGGTGTAGATGAGCATGTATAGACTGGCTGGGGTTAGGTGTAGATCAGCATGTATAGACTGGCTGAAGTTAGGTGTAGATCAGTATGTATAGACTGGCTGGGGTTAGGTGTAGATCAGCATGTATAGACTGGCTGGAGTTAGGTGTAGATCAGCATGTATAGACTGGTTGGAGTTAGGTGTAGATCAGTATGTATAGACTGGTTGGAGTTAGGTGTAGATCAGCATGTATAGACTGGCTGGAGTTAGGTGTAGATCAGCATGTATAGACTGGTTGGAGTTAGGTGTAGATCAGCATGTATAGACTGGCTGGAGTTAGGTGTAGATCAGCATGTATAGACTGGCTGGAGTTAGGTGTAGATCAGTATGTATAGACTGGCTGGAGTTAGGTGTAGATCAGTATGTATAGACTGGCTGGGGTTAGGTGTAGATCAGCATGTATAGACTGGCTGGAGTTAGGTGTAGATCAGCATGTATAGACTGGTTGGAGTTAGGTGTAGATCAGTATGTATAGACTGGCTGGAGTTAGGTGTAGATCAGTATGTATAGACTGGCTGGGGTTAGGTGTAGATCAGCATGTATAGACTGCCTGGGGTTAGGTGTAGATCAGTATGTATAGACTGCCTGGGGTTAGGTGTAGATCAGTATGTATAGACTGGCTGGAGTTAGGTGTAGATCAGTATGTATAGACTGGCTGGGGTTAGGTGTAGATCAGCATGTATAGACTGCCTGGGGTTAGGTGTAGATCAGTATGTATAGACTGGCTGGAGTTAGGTGTAGATCAGTATGTATAGACTAGCTGGAGTTAGGTGTAGATCAGTATGTATAGACTGGCTGGAGTTAGGTGTAGATCAGTATGTATAGACTGGCTGGGGTTAGGTGTAGATCAGCATGTATAGACTGGCTGGAGTTAGGTGTAGATCAGCATGTATAGACTGCCTGGGGTTAGGTGTAGATCAGCATGTATAGACTGGCTGGAGTTAGGTGTAGATCAGTATGTATAGACTAGCTGGAGTTAGGTGTAGATCAGCATGTATAGACTAGCTGGAGTTAGGTGTAGATCAGTATGTATAGACTGGCTGGGGTTAGGTGTAGATCAGTATGTATAGACTGGCTGGAGTTAGGTGTAGATCAGCATGTATAGACTGGCTGGAGTTAGGTGTAGATCAGTATGTATAGACTGGCTGGAGTTAGGTGTAGATCAGTATGTATAGACTGGCTGGAGTTAGGTGTGGATCAGCATGTATAGACTAGCTGGAGTTAGGTGTAGATCAGTATGTATAGACTGGCTGGAGTTAGGTGTAGATCAGTATGTATAGACTGGCTGGAGTTAGGTGTAGATCAGTATGTGCAGACTGGCTGGAGTTAGGTGTAGATCAGTATGTACAGACTGGCTGGGGTTAGGTGTAGATCAGCATGTATAGACTGGTTGGAGTAAGGTGTAGATCAGTATGTATAGACTGGCTGGAGTTAGGTGTAGATCAGCATGTATAGACTGGTTGGAGTTAGGTGTAGATCAGTATGTATAGACTGCCTGGGGTTAGGTGTAGATCAGTATGTATAGACTGGCTGGGGTTAGGTGTAGATCAGCATGTATAGACTGGTTGGAGTTAGGTGTAGATCAGCATGTATAGACTGGCTGGAGTTAGGTGTAGATCAGCATGTATAGACTGTCTGGAGTTAGGTGTAGATCAGCATGTATAGACTGGCTGGAGTTAGGTGTAGATCAGCATGTATAGACTGGCTGGGGTTAGGTGTAGATCAGCATGTATAGACTGGCTGGAGTTAGGTGTAGATCAGTATGTATAGACTGGCTGGAGTTAGGTGTAGATCAGTAATAGACTGGTTGGGGTTAGGTGTAGATCAGCATGTATAGACTGGCTGGAGTTAGGTGTAGATCAGTATGTATAGACTGGCTGGAGTTAGGTGTAGATCAGTATGTATAGACTGGCTGGGGTTAGGTGTAGATCAGCATGTATAGACTGGCTGGAGTTAGGTGTAGATCAGTATGTATAGACTGGCTGGAGTTAGGTGTAGATCAGCATGTATAGACTGGCTGGGGTTAGGTGTAGATCAGCATGTATAGACTGGCTGGAGTTAGGTGTAGATCAGTATGTACAGACTGGCTGGAGTTAGGTGTAGATCAGTATGTATAGACTGGCTGGAGTTAGGTGTAGATCAGTATGTATAGACTGGCTGGAGTTAGGTGTAGATCAGTATGTATAGACTGGCTGGAGTTAGGATTAGATCAGCATGTATAGACTGGCTGGAGTTAGGTGTAGATCAGTATGTATAGACTGGCTGGGGTTAGGTGTAGATCAGCATGTATAGACTGGCTGGAGTTAGGTGTAGATCAGTATGTATAGACTGGCTGGGGTTAGGTGTAGATCAGCATGTATAGACTGGCTGGAGTTAGGTGTAGATCAGCATGTATAGACTGGCTGGGGTTAGGTGTAGATCAGCATGTATAGACTGGCTGGAGTTAGGTGTAGATCAGTATGTATAGACTGGCTGGAGTTAGGTGTAGATCAGCATGTATAGACTGGCTGGGGTTAGGTGTAGATCAGCATGTATAGACTGGCTGGAGTTAGGTGTAAATCAGTATGTACAGACTGGCTGGAGTTAGGTGTAGATCAGTATGTATAGACTGGCTGGAGTTAGGTGTAGATCAGTATGTATAGACTGGCTGGAGTTAGGTGTAGATCAGTATGTATAGACTGGCTGGAGTTAGGTGTAGATCAGCATGTATAGACTGGCTGGAGTTAGGTGTAGATCAGTATGTATAGACTGGCTGGGGTTAGGTGTAGATCAGCATGTATAGACTGGCTGGAGTTAGGTGTAGATCAGTATGTACAGACTGGCTGGAGTTAGGTGTAGATCAGTATGTACAGACTGGCTGGAGTTAGGTGTAGATCAGTATGTATAGACTGGCTGGAGTTAGGTGTAGATCAGCATGTATAGACTGGTTGGAGTTAGGTGTAGATCAGCATGTATAGACTGGTTGGAGTTAGGTGTAGATCAGCATGTATAGACTAGCTGGAGTTAGGTGTAGATCAGCATGTATAGACTGGTTGGGGTTAGGTGTAGATCAGTATGTATAGACTGGCTGGAGTTAGGTGTAGATCAGCATGTATAGACTGGTTGGAGTTAGGTGTAGATCAGCATGTATAGACTGGCTGGGGTTAGGTGTAGATCAGCATGTATAGACTGGCTGGGGTTAGGTGTAGATCAGCATGTATAGACTGGCTGGCGTTAGGTGTAGATCAGTATGCATAGACTGGCTGGGGTTAGGTGTAGATCAGCATGTATAGACTGGCTGGGGTTAGGTGTAGATCAGTATGCATAGACTGGCTGGGGTTAGGTGTAGATCAGCAATATGTTCTGTATGGCATGTCATGGTCAACAGACTTAAATTCCATGCTCAGAAAGAACAGATGTTGGGTTAAACATTCGCTGACAAACTATTGTACTTTAATAGACAGATGATGCTCTTGTAACAGATAAATAAGATGAGTGTGAATGTTACTGTAGTGAATTTTTTGTTTGATATTTGCCCAGAAAGTCAATATTCATCACTTCTCTGGCATGACCTTCAAGTCATCAGACGAGGAAAAAGAAAATTGTGACCTTGTTCCGAGTGCTGAAATTAAGAAATGGTTGTCTTTTTGGCAAAAAATTGAGGTTTTTATCTTGAAATGACACCCAAACATTTAATAATTTGATGATTATGTGCTTGGACACTCTGGGACAGTATTAAAGAAAAAATTCCCCTGTGTGGCTTCTAGGGCCCCATTGTGGGGGACAACAAGAACAGAGCCACTGCCTCCTTAACAGCATGTTGGAAGAGTTGAATAATTGGGGA